GTCCCAAAGAAACACAAATGACCGTTCCACTTGACGTTCACTGCTGGGTGACGTTAGGACCGCTGGGCATCCAGATGATACTGTAATGCTGCTGCCCTCCCAAACCCTACAGAAGGTGATTCTCTGGGGGCAGCCGTGAGCATGGAGACCCCTGCAAATAACGCTGAGTTAGTCTCGCTCTCTCGGAAGAAGGGATCGCTGAAGAGACTGGGACTAAATAAAGTAACGCTAACCCAACTTTCCACTCGGAGGGCCATTAGAAATGGTGCATCTGAGGCATTCTGGACACTGAATAAATCTTTAGTTTTTCACTGTCAGATATTCAGAGGTTGTCCCATCAATAACCACAAAACAAAGTCTCCTTTGAGAGCGAGATGAACATTGGAAGAACGTCACTGTTATCTCCACCGTTGCCTTGGCACACTCATAGTTTGGTCTTCCGTCTCTCTTCCAGATGAAGCACGTGAGGCAAGGTGCTCGCTGAACTCACTGTGAGCTCGTCGGGACGTGATGGGCTGGTTCATTCAGGGGAAAGCGTATCTCTCTCTTGCTCCTTTCTCTTGTACTTTTCTTGGCTTAAATCGTTTGCATCACTGTCCATATTATTCTGGCAAATTTATGTATTTTAAACACAATATATTAGAACGCATTTAATTTATACTTGCAACATGCCATCTGGGGGCAAAATGTGAAGACAAAAAAATCTCAAGGTGCCTCCTTTGAAAAGCAGACAACTCCTTCATGATCTTTATCCTCTGCAAGAAGTTGTCTATTTTGCTTCATGGTTCAGAAGCAAATTAGGAGATGACATTCAGGCAACAAGATGCTGAAGGTGTGTGGCTCGGTCATGGAGGAAAGGATGCATGGTCACATCATGTCTTTAGGGCCTCAGCGGCTCTGATAGGGAAGCAGCCCCTCCCAGAGCAGACAGAGTCCGAGAGCTTTCCACCTAAAAGCTTCATGACAACACGCAGACATCCAGCCTAAAAATACATGAAACAGGGACATTTTCCCAGGCTGGAGTTCTAGTTGTTTGTCTGGAGTCACTGCTCCCGTGTGACCTTCACACACACGAGCCATACACAAAGGAATCTTCAAACAGGTGAGCCCAGCTCTCCGACCCGGCAGCTCAGAAGCCGGACTCTTTGAAGTATTTGCAGCATTGGCTAGTTTCACCCGCTCACCCCTTTGACATGGTCATGCCCCTGCATGTGGGTAAGTCTATTAAGGAACCAAGAAAGCAACCCCATTACCGGCACACAAGGAATTTCGAGTGACAAGCTAATGCAAAATGCACCAGCTCTCACCTATTGCCTCCTAACTGGGGTAGGGGTGGGGAGTAGGAGGGTGAAGGGTTGGGGGCAGGGGGGCCTGGCAGCGATGACTCTCTGTTCAGTATGACAGCTTTTTGAGCCTGTACCTTCTCCCCCTTGGGGTGAGGGTGCCCTTAGGGCCCAACTCCAATGTCACGGGATCAGGCATGCATCAGCACCCCAACATCATAGGAGGGGAAAGGTCAGCGAGTGAGACGAGCCAGTGTCAGAGACCAATACCAGCCTGGGGTGGGTGTAAGCGTGCGGCTAAATGGATGGCTGACTTTATTTACCTAACTTCGGACAGCCTTTATGCCTTCTGAGGAAGGGGACTGAGAACTCAGAGAAGTCCCGCCTGAAATGTGCCCTCCCTTCCCAGTAGCAGTGAGTGTGGGCATGGTGGTGTCCGATGCTAGAGCCATTCTCCCCACTGTATCCTTCTTCAGGAGGAGTCTAGCCACCCCCTGGGCTAGGCCTTCACTTCAGCCCCTCTATGCAGGTCATGAGGGTACAGGAAAGACCATCACAACCAACTTTCATGAGCGTATGAGTCCGTGTGTGCTGGCTTTTAACCCGCTCAAGTTCTTGACAAAGGCAGTCAAGTGTAAGGCTCTGCCATGACTCTCCTTCCTTAGCATTTGGATTGTTTAGGCCATAACTTTATTAGATGGCCGAGAAAACGGCTTTGCATGCCACTAGCGATGCGTGCGCCTGTGCCATTCATGGCCTACTAGGAATGGGCAGCTGACCACTCACTCCATCTTCCAGAGGGGTTCTTGGAATCTTGGTACACGTAACAACAAGGTCTGGAGGTCTCTCTTTTTTAAAATTAAACATTGACTTTTAAAACAAAGCATCTGCTTAAGAAATTCTCACCTTTCTAGGGGCTGAACTGACAATGAGTGAAAACCACTGATGGGCTTTGAAGTCTAAAGACCACTCACTCTGATTCAGTACTCGGCCCCCAGGTGCTGGTGAGAAACTCCGAAGGAAGCCTCATCTCGGCCTTGCTCTCCGCCACGTAACTAAGCCGCCGTTCCTTCACTGATAAAATCCGGAAGCACGGACACCGAAGCTCCAATTAAGGACCCAGGAGGCAGGTGTTGTCAGGGTCTGAGCTGCCGCCCAGAGCACACAGCTGTCAGTCTTGACCTGACAACGCCAATCCAGTCCCCAAGCCTGACTCCTTCCAGAACCGGTTCATTCAGGAACCAAGTCTGCTGAGATCATGGATTTTGCACTCGCTCAAAATCTCAGAACGCCTACACTGAGCTACTTAGTTTCTGCTGTTGCTGCAATATTTCTGAATAAATTTTAAAAAGATAAGCTTCCCTGAGTGCCTTTCAGGAGCTAGGAGATTTTTATGAGAAGAGTGTGCAGTTTTCTGAATACCTTTCCTTCCGAGTCTCTCCAGGTAATGCTCCCCTTCACTATTAGCTCAGCCCAGGAAGTGAGAGGCAGGGCTCGGCGACAGTGACCCTTGGGGACATCTTGCTGGGCAGGTCAAACCCTTTTGTGCCCCGTGGATCAGCGGGCTGGCCTCCTTTAACCCTTGCTCCTTATACTTGCAATTTCCAGCTTATGCATCCTCCCCATGGAGAATCCCCCTACGCTTCCGTTCGACGGTGAGGTTACTGAGTGGCCGTCAGTCTTTCCCAAACAGGGACATGCACGTTGCCAGAACCTAGTGCGGAAGAACAGAACCGTCCAGAAGTGCGGGTTTAAGCGCCCAGCGGCCATCTGCAGGACACACCTGTGACCCAGAGCCAGAGCCCACGCCATTCTCTACAACTGCAGCTGCTGCTCGGACCTCCCGGAGCCCTCCAGCCACCACAGGCAGAAAAGGGAAGGGGCTCTGAGCTCAATTCTCTCATCTCCTAAAAGCAAATGGGAAAATCCTTTCAGCTGCTTTTTCCCAGAAGGGATTCTGAATCCCTGGTGAGGCTGTGGTCACGTTTCTGGCGTCCGGGCAGAAGGCGAGGGGGTGCCGCCGCGGGTGACTCGGAGGCCCCCTGCAGACTCCCACCGTGCTTGGCCGGGTGCGCGTCCCCATCGCCACGGGGTAATCGTCACACACAGGAATTAATAAAGAAACACAACTTCAAAGGACACAAAAGTCGCATGCTCTAGAACAGGGCGCATGTTAGCCTCTGGGAGTGGAACCTACAGACATTGACGAGAGCACAGCTAGACTAAGGTCAGTGTGGTTAGGGCCCGGACGGCATCATCTACTTCAGCCTAGGGGACGAAAGAGGGACCAAAACTAAATTAAGAACTAGAACTAGCGGATGTTAACACCATCGGAACAGATAAGGGGGTAAGAAGAGGCACTTACGTGGAAGAGGGCCGTCTGCATTTCCCATGGACGGAACACAGACGAAAAGAAAAGACAAGAGACAGACCCAAGGGGGAGAAAAAAAAGATGGAAAAGAAATGAATAGAGTTTGCGAAGCACACGGAGCTGGAACTCAAATCATCAAGTTACGTCAAATCCAGAAAGAAGCAACTCCTGTGGAAGGAAGACGAGGCGGGCCTCCTGTTTCTAGAAGAGGTGGGAGGTTGCCTTGCAAGCCTCTGGCTTCGAAGACAAGGAAGCGAGGGACTGCCCTGCGTGCTTGGTAAGCCCGGGAATGAGAGAGGACCCAGGGAGCTCTGCACCGCTCGAGGAGTCTGGGTCTGTCGCACCTGCTCCCACTGGACGGGTGCCCAGTCCTCCCGGCGCAGCAGCCTGGGTCTGCAGAGGGGGTCCCCAGAGCAGGGCTGGCCCAGCGCAGTCGGTGGGACGGGAGGGAAAGCAGAGCAGGCGTGGTGTAAGGAAAGAGGGAACGATGGAGGAAAGCAGACGCCATCCCGAGTGGAACAGGAAGAAGCGTTTCTCTCACAAGAGGCCAAAAGGGAGGGAGACCCTGATGCGTGCTTGTGATGGGAGGGAGGGGGAGCAGGACACAGAGGCCTCAGCCCTCCTTCCCCTTTTGCATTACTGGGGGGGTCTCGCTACTGCACGCACATCCCATAGCGGTCTCCTCTTTTCTGTGATGTAATCTCTCTGCTGCATCAAAAATCCCACGACTAATTACATGACCATCATCGTCTTTTCTCTCTTCCTTCAAGTCACAGGGTGCGTTAGGGCCTTTGTGACCTGCATCAAAAAGCAAATTCTGGGGGTGCCTGGGTGGCTCAGTGGGTTAAGCCTCCACCTTGGGCTCAGGTCATGATCTCAGGGTCCTGGGATCGAGCCCCACATTGGGCTCTCTGCTCAGCAGGGAGCCTGCTTCCTCCTCTCTCTCTCTCTCTCTCTCTGCCTGCTTCTCTGCCTACTTGTGATCTCTGTCAAATAAATAAAAAATCTTAAAAAAAAAAAAAAAAGAAAAAAACAAAATCTGCCAGATCCCTCCCTGGCCGGGTCCCCTTCAGGAGGCACCAGTGATTTCCTCCCCGGCTGCGATGCTAACGAGCGGGACCAGCTACTGCAACAGTATCACCAAGCTCTTTGGGAAAGACTGCATAAAAGGGGCTGGGGACCAGCCATCGCTGAGGGCCAGGGGGCTAGGAGGTGAGCCTCCCTGAGCAGAGGCATCTGAAGCACAAACAGCTGCATCCGAACAGAGGATGGGGCAGCTCAGGGTCCCGTCCGCCCCCCAGAAGACGGTGGGTGTGGGGAAGAGGCCGGGCGCTGCGTGTACTTACGGACTGGCTGTGTCTTGAACTCGGAGGCTGTGCTGATCTCACCCAGACCCTTGCCGTTGAGGGCTGCCAGCCGCACGGCGTATGTGGTCTCAGGCTTCAAGCCCACGATGGTGACGATGCCTTCCATGCTGGCTGTTGTGAGAAGAGGAGGATCACCAAGGAGGGAAAGCCTATCGGCATAGTTGCTGTGGAATACAGCGCGGCGGGTCCTCGGACCCTTAACCTGCTGTCACCACGTGATCCAGCGACTGCTCGTCTGGGGATACACACAAAAGCTTTGAAAACACGACCTGGAACCGACACCTGGTGCCCACGTTCACTGGAGCATGGCTTACAACCTCCGAAGGGTGGAAACGACAGCCCTGTCCATCCGTGGGGATGACTGGGTGCCCAGGATGGGCTGTGGACTCAATGGGGAATCAGTCAGCCTTAACAAGGAGGGAAGCTCTGACACGGGCTACAGTGTAGATGAACCCCGAGGACGTCAGCTAAGTGAAATCAGCCGGACACAAAAGGATGGTGGGACGATTCTGCTCACACATGTCCTGGGGGTAGACAGCTACCCGGAGATGGGAAGTAGAATGGCTGTTGCCGGGGCAGGCGGGAGGGGGGACTGGGAACTCCCCAGTTCGTGTTGAACGGGTGCTGAGTTCAGGATCACCAGAAAGTTCTGGACATGGAGTGTGCTACATCAAAAATAAAACTAGAAAGTTCATTATACTTGAATTTAAAAATATATACATTTTATATTTCATCTAGCTGTAGCCATGACAAAAAGAAAAAAAAAAAAGCCAGTTGGACAGATTGTAACATGGGACCAACTCGCCATGAATGTGGTGTGCGTTTTCAGAGGAAGTTAGGGAGGTAAAGAGGTTGTCTTCTCCTGGCTCCAATCCTGACTCACAGAAATTCCTCCCACGCCCCCTCCCCCCAAACTGAAAACAGTGATGAAAGCTTCCTGGTGAAACAAATTCTCAGTAAAACCGGGTTGGGAGGGGGCTGCTCTGTCACCACAGATAGGACCAGAATTAAGACTTTCTACAGAAACAAAGCAAGCTTCACAGACATGGTTAAACCCCAAACAGAGAGTCAGACACAGTTATACACTCGGTCCTTGGGGCAAAATGGTCTGGGCTCAGAATCTTCCAACTGCAGGCATCCAAGGGTCACCTTCTGAACTTCGGGTTTGGAAATATATCACAGCATGGATTTAAGAGCAGACTTTACTCTCGGGCAGTTTGTTATTTGGTCAACACCGTTAAGTACATGACAGTCCCTGAGTCCACCAGGCAGGACAGAGGGTGGGTGATGGCAGAGAATCCGCAGCGCGGGACCCCCAAAGTTGCAGGGCAGGGGTGGCCGGACTCCTCTGGTTGTGCCCAGCACCTAAGCAGGGCTTCTGCTTGGAATGTGCTTGACATGGCCTCGCCCACCTTGGCATGGTCCTGGGAAGCAGATCCTTGGGTACCAGGGCACGGAAGGCCAACAATTCTAGAGGAGATGCAAGCGCGCCCTAATTCTCAAGGGACGGGGATGGGGCTGCAGCCCCGGAGATGAACGGCTGGCAGGGCTTGGCCTGTGGCACCCTCAGCAGCTGATAGCAGTGTGCCATGCCACCCCCGTGGGCTGTCAGGGTGCAGGGCCTGGGGGGAGTGTCTGCCCAACACCAAGCAGCCCATCCTCCTACAGGGAGTGCCCGCTCTTCCCTGCTTACCTTCTTTGGCATCATACCACTTGAAATGCCACACTTCCTCGCCCACGGCTCTCCACTCCGCCTTGTATTTGAGGATGGGCACCCCACCAGTGGCCTCGGGCTCATCAAACTGCACCTGTGCTGTGCTAGAGTATGGCTCCACCTGGTCGATGGACGGCGAAGATGGGGTGTCTGTGGGGAGGGCACAGATGGAGACCCTGGTAAGCCCCACCAGGTCCAGGACAGAACTCTTGGCCACAAGGCGAGTCTCTCATTTCTGCTCATTCTTGGGAATCTTATCACCTAGATCCCGTCCCCCAGCCCGCCTCACCATATGATCCTCTCCCCGCAGGTCCTGTGCCCACACCCTCCAGCCTCCACAGGCTCCCTGCTTCCTGACCCTCTCTCTCTGTCTTTGGCCCCCCAGCCTTCTCTTCTTTCACTCTCCTGGTGTCACCGAAGGGCATGGACCAGGCCAGCAAGGGGAAGGGTAGTGCAGCCATGAGGGGGCTCACCTGCTTGGACGAGGATGAACTCCAAAGACTCCTGCCCAATGCGGTTCACTGCAGTACAGTTGTAATTTCCGAAATCGTTTTCGGAATCTGGGGTCACCTTTGGAAAGAAGGAACTCGTGGGTTCTGAGTGTCCCAAGCAATGGCCACCAACTCAGATCTTTATTTATTGGACAAATTTGTAAAGAAAAGAACCAGGAAAGCATGAACCATAAGCTCCAACCCAACCTGAAGCCAGAGAGAACTGCCACGGGGCCAGCGAGAAGGGGCACCCTTGGCCTCTGGGCCATGACCTGGCCCCAGGGAGAGAAAAGGGGCAGGGCTGAGGCTCAGTTTCTTTTGTAGCCGATGGCTCCCCTGGACAGGATGCCAGAGAAGCAAGTGAGAAGATGTTAGCTGCATAGAGGAGCCGATCCGGAGTCGGATGGTGCCTTCTTCCCGCTCCCCTGCCCCCGCCCCGACTCACCTCCAGATAGCTGGCGGAAGGGGTGTTGTAGATCTTGATATTGCTGTAGTTGGAGCTCGGTAGCAGCTGACCGTCTCGAAACCACGAGATGGTGGCACTGGGGTAGGCAAATACCTCGCATGTGATGTTCACCTGGTTCCCCTCCCACGTGTACACGGCCACGGGGCCCTGCAGCTTGGGGGCATCTGCAAGGAACCACAATGCCGATCAGGAAGACCACGACTACATAGGAGCCCCGCACGCCCCGTCTCCCAGCCCCTGGAGGGCGGGTGCGCCCCAAACAGAACCAGCGCTGGGATGTAGTGAAGGTCAGGCTGGTTCAGCGGTCCTATGAGCCGCGTGGGAGGACAGAAGGGCTCGTGAGCTTGGGACAGTGTCAGGGGATGACTTGGGGACAGAGCTCTGGGATGGCTCGGGCAACTGCCACCGGGAGCATGAGCAGAGCCAGTGGGATGCAGCTCGGGTCCTGCCTGCCGTTGTCCCCTTTCAGCCCGACCCTGCACGGTCCCCTCCCCTCATCCTTCCACAACTGCAGCTCACACTGCACTTCCAGGTACATGGACTGGGAGTCCTGGCCGATGGTGTTGCTGGCCGTGCAGACGTACTCTCCCGCGTCCGTGTACTGGATGCTCTTCAGGGTGAGGGACGACACGCGGGCGTGGCTGTGCACCACCAAGTGCCCGTCCAGAGTCTGCCGGGAGGGAAGAGAGCGCGTGAGAGCCCACGGTGGCGCGGGGGGAGGAGACTGGGCCATCTCTTGTCTGGGACTAGTCTCACCTTCTCTCCCCAAGCTGTGCCCATGTCTCTTACTTATGGTCCCAGCTAGTGTGGGAGGCTCTGGAGAGCGCCACGGGAACTCGAGTGCATCCAAAATAGAAAATGGGACTCAGTTCATGGGAAGCAGCCTAGACTCCGTGCCAAGATTGGTTCGGGACAAGGACAAGCAAGGTCCCCCAAGACGACTTTGGCACATCTAAGATGGAAGCAAAAGCCCTGGCCAGTGGAGAGTCCAGCAGCAACAGCTCTGCGTCCTGAGACTCTGGGAAACCTGCGCCCTGTGCTTTCCTTCCAGGCGTCTGCCCATCTGGCAGCTCCATGGTGCATGCGTGCATAATGGGAAATCAGAGCACGCCAAGTGCAGGCACTTATACAAGAAACCTATATTTCTGCAGATGCCTTGCCTTCCTGAAGGCTTAAAAGTGAAATAATTTCAGTCAAGAGAAAGTCCAACAGCTCAGTGGTGAGGAACTCTTGAGCTGGAAGTGAGGGTCCCTGGTCCCCTCTCCAGGGACAGTGGCACAGAGTCCCAGGCAGCCACCACCAGATTCTGCATTCCAGCCCTTGATAACGTAATTGGCCTCCCCAGTCTCTGGAATTCCAGTGGTTGGTCAAAAGGGGAATAAGCCTGTGATCCCTAGGCAATGGGTTCTGGAATATGTCCAAGGGGCTCCTGCCTTGATGCTCGAAGTGAAATGGTTGCCAGCCTAGGAAAAGTCTGGGCGCGTTGCCCAAGGTCAGATCCTCAAGAAAGTTGGTAATCTGAAGAAGGAGTCTCGCTCCTCATAGGCTGGGCCACGCTCTTATCTCTAGCACATGATATTCTGTGGAGACGGCCAGGGGAGCGCTCTCCATATGGCACCTGTCGTCCCATGGGGCTGGGCCTTTAAAGAATGAAAGAACACCTGTTTCATTCAGGTTCTTCTGATGTGCTGGTTTGGAAGCCCGAAACCCAGAATTGCAATGTCACACACAGCCGGTTTGGGCAGCTCAAACACAAGGTTCCATGGGCCTTGTGCGGCAGTCTCCACAGACCCAAGGGACCCAAGAAGTCCCTCTGACCATCGCTAATGGAATTAATCCATCTCAGGCATTTAAGCCCCACTGAGGTAGGTATCTGGAAGCTGGACACCAATGCAGGCAAGGAGGCAGACGGCCGAGCAAACTCACCACTGCCTACGGGCCATTCTGCTCTCAGAGGAGCACCCGAAGCCCAGGCTCTCACCCCATCTGACCCGTAGATCTGCAAGGCTGACTGGCTGAGGAGATGCTACACATTAGTGAGAGGTGACCACAGACGGGTGTGGAGCACTTGACTAGAAAGCCGTGAGACATCGCAGGGTCTCTGGATCCTGGGACCCTCTTTATTGTGGGCTGACAGGGTTGTCCCAATACACCCCAGTGGCACTTCCATGAGCCATCCAAAAATGAACTCATCAGTCTAAGCGAGTGGCATCGAGGGCATCCCTGCAAACACCTCTAGAGGGCTGACCTGACCGGTTTGCCACTCCTTTCTGCCCCAGACACAATGGGATAAAGGCAGAAAAGGCTAGAGATCTACCCCCTGCCCTTCTGGTTATCTCAGTGAGAACACAGGTTCAGCCGACCGTGATACCAGCCAGCGGCTGAACTATGATCATGTGTCATACAGACGAGCTTGTCCTGGGCTCAACACCCATAAACATGGAAAACTGACCAGATCATTGGGAAGTCAAGAGAACATTTCCACAATGGAAGCAATATTGCAGCAAAAGATGCAAAGAGAGTCATGTAGGGAAGAGGAGGACAGTAACAACAACAAAGCAGGGCATGACCAGTCTACTCAGAATGTTCTAGAAAGTGGTTGAAGAGAAGTTTGGGAAGTGGTTTCATTGACAGCCATGATTTCCTCCCCTTCTAGGTGGTCTAAATTTCTCTGTGTGGAAAATTTTCTCATTTCATGGTGTCAAGAGGCCAGGAGACACTCCTCTACACAGAATTCTTGTCTCGCAGTGGCTCACGACAGGATTGGGGATGGGAATTTGTCAGATGCCCAGTTCACGCTCCAAGGGGGAAGCACACAGACTTCCAGTGCGATTAGACTGTTTCCCTCTGAAACGTTTTACTGTGGCACCAGGACAAAGGCAAGGAGTGCCAGCTATGAGCCATCCAGGTAGGGGTCCTGCTGACAGTTCAGCCTTGCAGAGGAAGCAGATGATCTCTGGGCAAGAATGGAAGGACGGCTGGGACAAGAAGACCCTGTTTTGCAAAAATAGCAATGTAGGGCAATTACAGTTACTTTCTCATCAAAACATTTTTTGCATCCCTTGTTCCAGATGAAAGTGCTAATTTTCCGAGCTTACAGAACAAAACTGGCCATAGCCCAAGCCTTCTCTGGAACTCATCTGGACTTAATGGTCTTTGTCTCTGAATGAGACAAATAGGAAGGAATGGAACTTTTGAGCCCAAGGGGCGGCACTCACTTGAAAGTCAATTACATCCAGAGTGAGATACTCAAGATAAGGATAATTCTGGAGAATGGAAGTGAGTTGTCTGCTTTCCTGGGAGTAAATCTATTACTTCCACTTATAATAATAATTCTCCTACCATCCCTTAATGCTCCCTGATGAATCTCCCCTCCCCTTCCAGCCAGGTCCACAAAGGAATGACAGGGGAAGATGCAGAAGGCCAAGCAGAATGAGATCTGTAGTTGCTCAGAAGCAGGTGATAATGAACCCTTCTTTTCTCCCTTCCCCAATCCCAGTGGGTCCATGACTTTGGGGCAATACAACACCAGGATGGGACAGCACGGAGCGATTTCAGCAAGATGCGCACTTGACTACGGTCCCCATGATGAGGAAGAAGGTAGGATACGAAGAGAGCTTATCAGACACTGGGTTTGATCACGACCATGTGTTCACGTGCAGAAACTAGGATCAGTGCCCGGGGACAGGCAGTCAACTCTTCAATATTAAACAGCATTAAATATTTATAGCCACGACCTGAACACAAGAGTTATGTGTTCCGAATAATTATCATTTCTGGGAGACCAAGAGGACCGGGTTACCCGATTAGAATATAGTGTATAGGATTCCCGTAGTCTACATTTATACTATTACAAGATCAAAATATCCTCTGGAGAAGAGACAAAAGCTAGTTTTTAAAGAAATACTTGTGGGTTGGATCCTTGAACCCCCTTGGAAGCATACTGGTTCTTATTTCACTCTCTGTCACTTAATCATACCAATCAGTGAAAACAACGATAGGCGTGATTGTAATTAGGGTCCTGGGTGGGTAACATTAAATTCTTAAGATTAATATTTAGCTTCAGTTTTCAAACAAAGTCCCACATTCCCCGAGCTGAAGCAAGTAGTCAGAGAAATCTCAAGGGCTAAATGCTACGGACTTCTAAAAAACATACAACCGCTTGTGCCAAATCGTGCTCATCTCATAAATTTAATGCTCTGTGAAAGTGACATACGTGTGTTTAGCAGTTTGGGCAAACCAAGGAGAGATGTCGTCTGCATTGCTTTGACACGAAATGGGATGTGATGGAATCATTTACCGAGACCAATCATTATAAAACAAGCGAGCAACAAGATGAGTTGAGCTGGGAAGGGTTGAGTGGGTTTTTAGACCACTAACTCCGTGACTTTATGACCCAAAGCCCCATCAACCAGGTGAGAGTAAAAAAAAAAAAAAAAAAAAAAAAAAAAATTATCATTTCAAAACGCCTGGCCTGGGAATTGGAGCGATTTATTTCTGTACGTATAATTACCTGGATGTGATTTTTACCAGCACCAGCAAGAGAATAAGATCCAATTTTAAGAAGTAATAAGGATTTTGTTCATCCACTCCCAACACAGCTTGCTTGCTCACCCTAGAACGCCACTATTGCTAAGTAACGTCTACCACTATCGACCTATTCTTTAATCTAACTCTAGGACTGATTAGTTTAGCATGTCTGGTTATTGAACTGGAATGGTGAGTTAAGCTAGAATGCTTTCGAAAACTAAAGACTGGCTAGTGGTCAGGTAAGCTATACCTCTTGCTTCTCTGGTCGAGTCCACGAAGCCTGGAGAGAACAAGATATAAAACACAACAAGAAAGCAGTAAAATTTTACAACATGTTGCTTCAGAACATTGATGTATAACACTGTGTTCCGTGCACATGCAGCTGCTTTTTTTAACTCAGAACTTTGTCCAAGACCCACTTTCAATGGTGTGTTTATCACCCACTTTAGGTTAGGAGGCAGTTCATGTTCCGCTTCCCACCCCTTTCTGCACATTATGATGTATCATTCAAAGGAGAAGTCTTTCCTAATCTTTGGTAGGCATACACATGGACACCAGCAGACGGGTTCAACTGCTTCTGTTTTAAAATGTCTTGAGCATTTCTCGTCATATTTGAGGACACCCCTAATACAAACCACATAATCTAGAGATAAACGTAGAGGGTAGGTTTCCTCCTTTGGATTCTGTTAGACAGTCGATCGCAAAACTACGAATGCCATTTTGTGCTCATGCATTTTTCTAACTCGTTGCATGCATCCTATTAAAAATCAAGTTTGTATCTTAAAAAAAAAAAAGAACTAAGAAAGGAGCAGAGAGGTATATCAGGAATGGTGAGCATGAATTCGTTAAAGTTGTGGGGCAGGAAACTTTCAGGCCAGCACACTGTTGTGGCCGGCTCTGGAGGAATGCCCAGATGGCATGCGGGCTCGAGCGTGTACCACCGTCAACCAACATGGCATTCATGAGTCAACTCAGAAGCACAGAGGCTTGGGTATTTTCCTGCCCACATTCAGATATTTTACTTATCCAGCACTTGGGAATCTACGATGCTGACGGCGTGTCTGTTTTCATACCGGGATTGAAAAACATCATACCTGCATTGTTCTTTTTATTAGACGGCACAAGTGCCTGGTTGTCCCT